GTACACCAAGCTAACTGTTTGGGCGGTTTATCCAGTGTTAGTACAGGAGGATACCGGGGATCGAGAATCCTGTGGTGTTTGGTAGTGTCACACTGGATAACACCCTTCTCACATGTGTCCAGGCCGAGGCTCAAACCCTTGACATATTGCTGAGAGTTATGTGCATTACCGCTGTACCTGTACCACCAAGTTAGGTGTTGTATGTTACGCTTAGGTAAGTTAGTTTGGTTCACATTATGAAAATTCTTGGTCTTGCCGAATGTTGACAAAGGCACTTGTGATATTAGGACTGTTTAATGCAAATTACCCTGGTTCCATTGACAAGACATATGTGAAATAAAATTTATATAAACAACTTAATTTACATTATAAACTGCAAATAAGCCTCTATGCTCTCAGTACATCAGTGAATTGACAAAATCCATCTAAGAATTATGTTATTAGCACACCTGAACTAACTACGTACTGGTATTGTAGAAACCATTGTGCTGTACAGGTATAGAATTATGTAAAGATGTTCTCTAAATCAGGTTTTGATTTTTTGTGGTTTATAGAAATTGTTAAGGGCAGGACAAAAGACCTTAATATCTGTGTTTAATGATGATGTGTGTGTTTTAATTGTATTGTTTTTAGTTTTCTGTTTCTAAATGTTAATAGGGAAGAAAGGGGTTTTAGTCTAGAGTACTTGTGTGCTTTAACTAGGTACCTACCGTTACTGTAGGACATTCGCCATAGGAAATTAGAAAATAAATGCTTTCATACATCATGAAATTTATGTTTTGTTTCATTTTTATTTTCAATTGGTTTAATTTTAAATTTTTTCCCCTGAACACAATTCTACAAGCTCTCCCTCCAGCTCTCAATGTGGCTATGACTCCTCCACTTCTTTGAAAGCTGAATATTTTCTTTAATAAAAGTATTTTTTCCATAAGATAATAGAAGATAAATAATAGTGTACAGTAGATGTGGTTAGGTCTGGTTGGTTTGATTTATAAATTATAAAATATATTGTGGCAGCAACCAGTACCGGTACCTCCAAGCTGTCTGAATGTTTTCTTTCATAGATGATCTTTGTTTGTTACAATGATTAATATTTTGAATATTGTATCATATAATGTAGCAGTATCTGGTAAGTCTTTCCTTTGATGTATGAACTGGCATCATATTTGTACTCTGTTGAAAGTTTGCCTTACTTCAGGAATCATGTTGTGTCCTGGCTCTTCTTTTGATCTGTTCCAACTGTTTGATATTGTCTAACAAGAAGAAAGTTCTAGATTTCTTATTTGACCATGATCGTCTGCACTGCGATGAAAACAATATGGTGTCTGGCGGCAGTTAGTGCTGCAGCCTCCATTACCAGAATTCAGAAGAAATCATAAAATATATACTGTACTGTACTTCTGGTATCACAAAAAAACAATGTTCATACACTTTTCATCACTGACATGAGGTAAGAAAGCATTCATGTTCTCTGGTGAAATTTAATTCAGTAGGTACTTAAGGCATAGATCATCTACCCTGTACCTAACTGTATACTGTACATATATTTATGATGCAGCACTATAGACTTGATTGCAGAGATGTACGGTGGTCCACCCGCTGGCAAGCTCTAGGTGATGGTGTTCAGTTAGAGTTGCCATTGGTCACAACCTCTCAGTGTTTTATAACATTAACTACAACACATTTTTTTTTGGACCACCTGAAGATTCACCCTTCAACATATCACACCTGAAGATTAACCACCCATATAGCAGTAGGGTGTTTAATTATCAGGTGAAATAAGCTGGGGGAGCTAATCTTCAGGTGATCCATATATTTTAACACTCAAAAATATATTGTGCTCTAATAGTTACCAGAACGTAAGAGAAAATTTTTTTGAGAATGGTTTAATTTTTGTTTAAGCAGGCTGTATGCAAATATTGATTTATACTGTATGTACAGTGATCCCTCGGTTAATGAGCGCCTCAGTTAACGAGATTTCGGTTAACAAGTTACCTTCCATAAGATTTTTAACTTCAGTTAACAAGCAATCTCTCGATTAACGAGTTTTTTGCAAGCCGACCTCAACATGTTTTCACTTGCATTTGGCAGTCCACCTGCTGTAGTTAACTGTTGTATCATATAATTACAGGTACTCCTCGACTTAAGACATACTTGACTTACGACAACCCGGACATACGACCTCCGTGTCGTATAAAATATTTTTCAAATTACGTACGGTATTTTCTAGAGCCGACGTTAGTGATCGTGCTGTGAACTGACAGAATTTTCGTTTGTAATTTCCTTTAAAATGGCTGGCAAGCGTAAAAGTGAGTTCTCTTGTTGCTGAGAAGAAGAAGAGACACTCAATTTAGAATTTTGATGTATTACAGGTTGTACCTCTCTAGTCCGGCATTCTGTGGTCCGGAACTATTTAAGTTTGTCCAATAGGTAAATAGGCATTTTTTTTTTTTTTTTTTTTTTTTTTTTTTTTTTTTTTTTTTTTTTTTTTTTTTTTTTTTTTTTACTTATCTGAATTATTATTATTATTACAGGAGTATTAAATTTTTGCCCCTCAGGCCCCAATGTGGGTCAGTGACCTATTCCCGGGTGGGCTAATCCCCTTAAAAAAAAAGCCGCGGGAAATTAAGGTTTGTTTACATCCGGCAGTTCGGCTGCTCTCTCTCTCTCTCTGCTTGTCTATACAGAGTACAACATTTAACCCTTCAATATATATGAGCAGTAAATAAGTGTTGCTTTCATATTCTTATGTAGAGTAATGACGATATATTTTCACATGTGCGCACTTACATACGAGCAGTCTCACTTTTTTTTTTACCATTAATGGTTAGCTACTTATATTGTTCCATTTATTAACATTAAATAACATTACAGGTACTTCAAGCAACCATATTCATTTTTTACATTAATTTTACTACAGCTAAACTCAGGGTCTTATTTTCTTCAGTTTTATATGTAGAACCAATCAGTCACTGGTTTCGTAAGCTTTAACATAAACAATGCCGGCAGCCGTCTCGTCTCCTCTAATATTCCACGTACAGTATTATTAATAAATTGTATTGTTAATTTTGCACACACGTACATTAATTCAATAAAAACAAATTCAGAAACATTAATTAAAATAAATATGAACAGTAAATAAGTGTTGCTTTCATATTCTTATGTAAAGTTATGATGATATGTTTTCACGTGTGCGCATGCGCACTTACATATGCGATCTCTCTTTTTCTTTACCATTATCGTTAGCTACTTCTATTGTTCCATTTATTAACATTAAATAACATTACTTAAAACAACCATATTAATTTTACTACAGCTACAACCAAGGTCTTATTTTCTTCAGTTTTATATGTAGAACCAGTCAGCCACTGGTTTTGTAATCAACGAATACAATGCTGTGTCATTTCCTCGTGTGTTTTAATATTCTACGTATTATTAATGAATTGTATTGCTCATTTTGCACACATAAACATTAATTCAATAAAAAAGACATTCAGTAATAAACAATAATGAATCTTTTGTACATAAGAGAAATGACGCTGTTTACACGATTATGCACGTCGTCTGCACGTTGGCGGGCCGTTCAAACCTGTCGAAATTCAAGTTTCCGCCGTCAAATTTTTTTTTTATTTATTTTTTTTTTGTGTGTTCCTATAAAATACGTTAAGAATTAAAAACTCGCGAAATTTGAGACGCTACTATACGACATTTAACCCTTCAATATGTCTTCAAAGAGACCATGATGCAGAGAAAGTAGTGCTAGTGCTTCCAAGCATAAGCACAAGTCACTATCTATCCAGGAAAAGGGTGAATTTCCATGGTCCGGCACCGTCAGGTCCCGAGGTTGCCGGACTAGAGAGGTACAACCTGTATTTTCACCTTTTTGACTTAGACCAATTCGACTTACGACCTGGTCGTCTGTACGGAACCCCTTCGTAAGTCGAGGAAAGACTGTATAAAAATTATGTTACTGTACAGGTATTCCTTGTTTAGCATTAATACACTTGACCCTAATTCAGTTTAGCATTAATGTACTTAAATGTTAATTTGGTTTATTGATGAAACAATCTTGACATCCTGCATCACTTGACGTTTACTTAAAATTTGGTTAGCAATAGTTTACTCACTGGGAAGGGCAAAGAACTGGGGATGAGGTGGCCTGTAAGATGGCATGTTGCCATTATTATATGTACAGGGGTAATGAAACTATGAAAGGTGTGGAAAAGTAGAGAAATATATTATAAAACTATAAGATAAGAAATGTGAAGAGCATGTATGTGTGTGAAGTGAAGGTATTTGGAGGCAGTGGGTTGTAACTTCACTGCGACGCCAGCCGTGTTCCCTAACTTTATCCCTCAATGTAACATCATGGTATACACACAGCGCAGCAGCAGCCACACGTCTCTGAGTCAGCTGGGTAACTGCCTGGCTGAACTTGCCGCATCGCCCAGAGGATGGTTTGAGTGTGGAAGGTGCTTTTTTTTTTTACATATATTTTGTGTTCTTGTTTTTATGATATGCTATGTATCAATTTTATTGTTTTATCATAAAATTTTAGTTAATTTTTTTATGTACCGTACTATGCAATTTGAAATTTGTTCAAATTGGGCTCGCCTTTAGCTCACTAAATTGTTGAACTCTGAGCCACATCGTTTATATAGGAGTTTGGTGTTAATAAATTGATCGTTTAACTTCAAAGCCGTTCATAACGAGCTTGTTTATTATTATTATCATCATTATTATTATTATTATTATTTGGGAGTACAGTACTGTACTCTTTGTTTACCGTCCTGCCATTTGAACATGTTGTTCGCCCGCCAATCTTTGCTGTTATCTCTCTTATAGCGATAATTTTGTGTAATGTTAGGTTTTTTAGGAATGCAACCCCATCATTAAATGAGTGATACCTTCATATGACAAGATAAAATGATGTTTGTTGCCTTTACTGTATTGTATAACCTGAACACTCGTATTAATTAGTTAATTTGTGATAATTTCAGATGAGTGATGGGCAGCACCAGTGCAGTGATGGGGTAACTTAATGTGTTCAAGATATTTTGCTCGAAGACATTGAGGTCAGTAATGAAGCTGAGGAACATTGAAGCATTTAATATTGGAACAGTGATTCTGAACTATTGAAGCGGAAGAAGACGCCCTCACAAAGTGTACCGAAACATACCTTGATCCTTGAACAAAAAATGTGCTGTACTGTGTATGGTTATGTACAGTACAATTCACTATGAAAATAATAAAAAAAAAAAAATCGGTGTTTAATAAGATTGTCAGTCATTGAGGAGTTTTCCATGATGTGACCACCACTGTGTGTATAGAATGACATTACTAACTAAGAACATTTAACAAGGACTTGAAACATTCATTATATTTCAAAAAATGAATGTTAATGATAGTAAATGTCTTGATTCAGAACACAAAGACAGTTGTGTAAAAGAAAAAGATGACACTTTATGCCTTGATTCAGAAAACAAAGACAGTTGTGTAAAAGAAAAAGATAACACTGTATGTCTTGATTCAGAAAACAAAGACAGTTGTGTAAAAGAAAAAGATAACACTGTATGCCTTGATTCAGAAAACAAAGACAGTTGTGTAAAAGAAAAAGATAACACTGTATGCCTTGATTCAGAAAACAAAGGCAGTTGTGTAAAAGAAAAAGATAACAACACTGTATTTCTTGATTCAGAAAACAAAGACAGTTGTGTAAAAGAAAAAGATAACAACACTGTATTTCTTGATTCAGAAAACAAAGGCAGTTGTGTAAAAGAAAAAGATAACAACACTGTATTTCTTGATTCAGAAAACAAAGGCAGTTGTGTAAAAGAAAAAGATGACAAAGTTTCTTGTGTTGATTTAGAAGGAGAGAAGGGAGGGAGTGTAAAAGAAGAGGAAAAGGGTGATGGTGGTGATGGAAGTCCCGAGGTACTTAAGAGAGACAAGCCAGCAGACACAGACACTGGGGTTGGTAAGTACAGTAATTAGTTCTCCTGAAATAACAAAAACAGTTAAGTGGAAATGCACAGATTGGAAGAGCTTTAACCTTTTGTGAATGAAACTTAATTTTGTCTTCATCAAAGGGCTAAATTATTATCTATTAGTAATTAAATATGGTCAGAGGGTTGAACAATAATTCTCAATGTTGAATTAATTTTAATGGGTTTAATCATATTTATCATGGGGTGAAAATATTTCTCAAAGGGTTGAATAATTATTTGTTTAGCATCAAATATTTAAATTATACCTGTACAGTATATAATTTTCAGTGAGTTAAACTTATCTTCAAAATTAATGAAACTATATCCTTCAAATGGTTAAATCATCATATTCAAGGGGTTAAAATACCAGTACAGTACAAATGCTCCTCTACTTATGAATGAGTAATGTTTCTAAGGCTTGTTTGTAAGTCCAACTTTACTCCTGTAGATACCAAACATAGTGTAAAAAAAGAAATATATATATATATACAGTATTACCCCGCCTAACGCGGTTTCACTTAACGCGTTTTATCATATACGCGGTGCCTCGCCAGAGCTGAACTTTCACTTAACGCGGAATTTTTCATCATATACGCGGGAAGCGGCGTGGGCACGATGCGCACAAGGTCGCCCAGTCATCAAAACATTACCGAGTTCTTCACCCGCCACCCACCACAGCCGGCCCAAGTCAGTGATAGTGATAATTAGGGCCCGGATAGTTATGCATTTGCATATTTCATATGCAAATGCATATTTTGCGTGATTTTTATGATAAGTGCATATTACCTAGATAACTGCATATAAATGCATATTTTGGTAAAATATTCATCTGGCAGTATCTCTTTGTTGCCACTGAATGAGCACACGTGGTACTGGGAGGTGAGGTGAGGTGTGGTTAGGTGAAGTGAGGTGAGGTCACGTCGCTTTAATCTGTCGTTTCCACACCTGGTCATGACTCATTGGACTAGTGAGTTAGTCAGTCAGGAGCAGTGCTGCTGTGTGGAGCTACTCTCTTCTGCTGCTCGTGAAAATGCCGAAAGTACAAAGAAACCAAAATGAAGTGCTGAGATCATATGTAAAGGAATTTGATGCATTTACTACTGATGGAAGTGTACTGTTTTGTAAATATTGTGAAGCACCAGTGACAGTGAGCAAGAAATTTCAAGTCCAACAACACCTTAAAACAAGCAAGCACATCCGACTCGAAGCTGTTAAGTCCAATAGTGCACAAAAGGAGCAACAACTACTTCTTGCATGTTCCAGTAAGGCTTTATAAGTGGCATTTTTAGTGCATATAAATGCATATTTCCCCTGTTTTAGTGCATATTTGCATGCATATTTCATGGTTTTTTAGTGCATAACTATCCGGGCCCTAGTGATAATTATAGTGAGGATATGGACTTATATGGCCTTTGAGGGGTTTGACAAAGAGGCCCTGCAAGCCTCTGTGGTGGATAGTGATACAAGTGATACAGGTGAGGGCCAATAATCTGCCCTCTGCCTCGGAACCAACCCCCCATCCCCGTGTGCCCAGCCATCTTTTCTACTAATGCAAGTGTTAAAAAACCTAATATTATTGATATTTCTCTTAATTATTAATTGTGTGTGCATACCATCATAAAGTTAAGATAAAATTTTTACTACAACATAGTTGTGTGTCATCAAAAAGTGGAGTTTGGGGGTCGGGCCAGTCTCTATTGGAATTAATCCCATATGTTCTGTTGTTGACTTAACGCGGTACCCTGTGGGTTCAATTGACCGCGTTAAGCGGGGTACTACTGTATGTATATATATATATATATATATATATATATATATATATATATATATATATATATATATATATATATATATATATATATATATATATATATATATATATATATATATATATATATATACATATATATATATATACATATACTGTACAGGTATGTAAAATCTTCCTTCTACTCCTACTTAACATACAGTTTCCTTCCTCACACTTCTGTTCTTTACAGTTAGAGGTTGTTTAGGGTCAGTTAAACATAAACTATTATAAATAACCAATACAGTACTACATTCTAATCACTCAAGAATTAAAACTCCCCAAACAGCTGAGTCTCACTGGAACATTGACTTGCCTTGTGATGAGTGTTATCTCACGTGACCGAAGTAAAATTTCCAGATTTTAAAAATCACCGATTGTATTTGTGCTATGTATTTTAGGTCTTTTTGTAAGATATGTTGTGTCTAGTAAGGCTATAGCAAATTTCAGTACAGTTTTTCTATGGATAAATTAAGTTGGTAGACCTGTTCTGTCCTTAACCTGTATGGGCCAAGGCATGGAACAAGAACCAGACCAATATTAAATATTGTTTTGAGTCACATGGCTTGGCCACCCTTGACCTGTATTATTTATAATTATATCATGTGTATTAATTCTTTCAGAAGATGGGGGTGATGTTGGAAGTGAACATGGATCCTTCAATATGGAAGACTTTGAGGTATTAGATGAACTGGAAGATGAAAATGAGTCCGCGTCATGCTGTAGGCGCTCGTCATCTTCCTCTGGCAGAAGAAAGGAGAAGGGGAGTACAACAACAAAGACTACAGATGGAAGATTCAAGAACACAGGAGGTGGTAGTAAATATGACAGGCACAAGGATAAAAGAGACAGATCTTGCAGTCATATGTCTTCTTCGGGATCATATGGTAGAGAAGAGAAATCAAATAGCAACTCCTCCAGAAGGTATAAGAGGGATGACTCAAGAGACAAGTCAAAGAGAATGCATAAGGGGAAGAGTCATTCAGAGAGGTCAGATGACAAGCAAGAAGGATCCAAAGCTTTACCAGATGACTCCACAAGAACCACATCAAATAAGAAATATTTCAGCCACCGGTCAGACAGAAAAAGAAATCAGTGTGAGTCGGATAATAAGAGGAGTGGAAGTAAGCGATTGTGTGTTACGGGAGAGGAACATAATCATAGAAAAAGAGAGTCCAGGAGACCAACTGATAGACAGACACATTCAAAGACTTCTGATGAGAGGAAGAAAGATATCCATAATGAGCATAAATCCTCCAAGGTAGAACATGACCGACATAGTAGGTCATGTAAGAAGACGAGTGGTGATCTGAGTGTAACAAAAAGAACTCATACTTTGGAGAATAAAAAGAAAATTGATAACAAAAAGGAGAATACCGGAAACACAAAAAAAGAACCACCTATCTGTGAGAAAGACGGTACCAAGTGTCCAGCCAGTGACTGTACTAGTTTGGCTATTACCAGTAGTGAGACAGCCAGTTCTAACTGTGAGGTGGCAACTACCAGCTCTTGGATAACAAGTGATTGCTGTAATACAACTGCTACCAATGGTGAAGTATCTAGTGCAGGCAATAATACAAACAGAGTCAGTAATGAGACCGGCAAAACCAGCCGTGAGTCAACCATCAACCCTAGTGTAACAGCCAGTCACCCCTCGGAGATAAACGATAGTAAAAATGGTTTAGGTGATGTATATGGACAAATAATAGTAAAAACTGATGTGATAACAAAGTGTGAGGACAAGAACACCGTGATAAAAGAGGATGAAACCGCAAGTGTACAAGTAGAAGAACAATGTGCACAAGGTGAGAGTCCTGCTGATGTTGAGCTGAAGCATTCTGATGATAGTAAAGAAAGTGATCCTGAGTTCAAGCTGAAGAATAATGAGTCTAAACAGGAAGATAACAAGTCAGAGCAATCGATAAAGGCTTCGGAACAAGATCTTGTCAAGGCTGACCAAGCTACTGAGACTCTGGAACAAGAAGATCATAAGTTGGAGGAGGCTTCCAAGGTTTCTAAGCCAGAAAATTCCAAATTGGAACAGGCATCAATAGACAAGAAACAGGAAGATGATAAACCCTGGAAGGATGCCATACATTCAGAAGATGAGACTACCACATGTCAACTGCTAAGTCAGTCTTGTAAACAGGAAAGACGGGGAAACAATAAGTCTAATGAGGAAGCTCTTGAATGTGAACTGGATAATAATGATTGTAATATGGAAGGCTTTGAGTGTGATGAGCATGGAGGAAAGAAGGGTAGAGAAGACACCAAAGAAGATGCTAAAAAACAAGGTGTGGATTGTGAAGATGCTTCACATACCAAGCATGAAGCTGAGACTCTTAAAGAAGATGTTATAATAAAAGAGGAAACTGAGGAAGAGATCGTTCAAAATAAAAAAGGAGTTGAAACTTTAGAACAAGAAGATGCCAAGAGCCAGATGGAAATTGTGGACTCTCAGTTGGAGAAAGACAAGTCTAAGAAGGATGATAAACAAGAGGACATTAAGAATCGGCAGAGAAATGAAGCCAAGTTTAAGGAAAAGAAAATAGAAGTAAAGAATGAGACATCTACAGATTCAGAGAGCAAAGGAAATGAGATGAAAGATCAGATATGCATGTATGTAAGCAACATAAGAAAAGAGGTTGATGCAAAAGAGAAGTTAAGGGCTGCTATCAGCGACAGAGTCTGGAGAACGGTAAGTGTAATGCCGTAGTTTTAGTTACAAACCATCTTTCAAATTTTCAAATTAATTTTGTGGGACATGAAAACATTCTTAAATATACAAACAGGCATACCTCTTATAATGTTTTAGGTGTATGCATGGGAAACTGCTAAAAGAAAGAGGTCAGTATAGTATAACATTGTGTCAGAACAGTAGAGATGTATTTTTGACTGCTATTTTTTACTCACGAGTGATATGAGGTGCTCCACATTACAAGGAGGTGAAGCTTCAAATTTCAAAAGAGGAGAAAAACGTGTTTAAAGTATTTCGAATTTCAAACAACCACAACTATGTTGTTTTATAAGCTAGAGGGTTAATTTTTTTTTATCATGCAGCTCAATCCTTCTCCTAGCAAACTGGAAGTTAGGACTGTGAAAAGTTATTATTTTATTGCGAGTTGAATGAGAATAACTACCCGTCATATATTGTTGTTTGATCTTCAAACAACAATAATTGCATTTTTCTTAGACCCCCTCCCATAAACCCCCCCCAAATTAAATAATAAAAAACTTGTTTGCCTATCAATATTAATCTTTCCGTCCCTATTATATTATTAGCCAAAGATTTATAATAAGTATAATAGTGTGTAATAATAAGGAAACACCACTACACTCATCTCCCCCACCCCCCATCGTAATTAACATATGAATACAAAGGCAGAGAAAGTTTGCATAATCTTAGGTAAATACTGTACAGTATTATGATAATAGTACAGTATTATAATCTTACTCTTCTTAGTTCCTTCGTTTTATTATCCCTGGCGATCATAGTAAGTTGAAGTTAGGTAATCCTGAGGAGTGCGTATAACTTTAATGGCCTCGTCATAATCAATCGCCTACTGTTCAAAGTCTTTCTCTGCCCTCGAAAAATCGCTCCTCTCACTCTGAACGGGATGTGACCACCTTTACTTACTGAGCACACAGCCAGATACGTAGCTCCCGGCCTGAGGCGAAATGGCACTCTATTTTTGAAGGACTTTCAACCATATTTCTAGTCTACGTAGGGGGTTACATACAATGCCAACATGTAGAGGAAGGGTGAAAATAGTGATATTCATAAAAAATGCATTTAGCCCGGGTTGGCGCTTTACTCCTTGTAACGCTGAGCGCCTCATATACAGTACAGGGGTTTCATGGGGTGTTGCTAATAGTTCTAATAATGACACTAAATATATAATACTGTACATGTATTAAAACATTTTATAAATACAGTACAGCAAATAAATTTTAGTAATATTTGACACTAAAACATTAAGTTATATACAGTACACGTACTCATCATCGTATTTTATTGAAACTCGTGTAAAAACGAGCACCATCTCCTGTTGATAGTAACAAGATCCTACTCCTCCTATAGCGTAACAGTGGGGATTGTTCTTTGAACAAGTTGTCATTGTTATTGAAATGATGGATTCGGCTGAAGCCATTATCTTGTCTACTTTCTTGACATTGGTTCTAATGGTTGATGAAGCTGATGCAGGCTGCTCAGATTATGTGCAACATTTACTTGTCCTGGGCAAGTGGCTTACTTGCTCAAATACTTTTATATTATTTGCCCTGATATATTTTTGAGGAAATTTGCTTGCCATTGTCTTTTTTATTTGTTTTAGGTTAACTAAGTATTTTTAAACATTCATATTTATTGTGCACACAGTGGAGTATTGATACAGTGGGGTATGCTATAACGAATGGATTCTACTACGAATATTCCTGTAACGAACGGTTTTACCTATAAAATTGAGAATGCTATAGCGAACGAAACTCCTACAACGAATTTTTTTTTTTTTTTTACTAATTTATTGTTTTTTAATTCCAAGTATTATTGATATTCTTTATTTCAGGGGTTTAGATGCATATTTATGCACTTTTTTACAATTTTATATTATATTTTTGTGTTAAGTGGTTGTAGTTGGGGGCCTGGAACGGATTAATCCTATAACGAACAAGGTTCTAGAACCAATTAGTTGTATGTTTGAACAGAATGCAGAGAATGAGGAACTCTTAAAGGTATTAATACAGCTATTCAAAGGGTCAATTATATTCTTAAATTATTTTGTTGGATGGATAAATCTACCTTAAAGTATAGTGGGGGAGAAATGGTAGGGAAAGTGCTTGAGGGTAAGTGTAGAAAAGGGGCAGGAATGGGTTGAGCTAACAGGCTTGAGTTTAGTAATTACTAACAGTTGTTTACATCCTCGACATCCACAACACAAAGTGTATCTTATCTTCCATACTGACTTAAAATTCTCCAGTAAATATTCATGGGTAGTATTTATATATGGATATATGCATGCCATTTTAAATGTGAAACCATTGTAATTATTATACATTTTACTCGCAGGAAATTGGCAGGCCGAGCTTCTACAGGTACTGCAAGGTGTTTATAATTGGAGATTCCCGCATCAAATACCTGGAATACTCTGGAATTAAGAACAGCTTTAACAATCTGGAAATCATATGTGTGCCAAACTTGACCATTGATAAACTTTGGGAGGTTGTTAAAATTAATATTTGTTGTGATCAGAAATATTACCATGGAGGAGTACTGCTGATTTGTAGTGTTGGAATCTATGACATTCTCGAATTTAGTACTAATATGTCCTGCCGACTAATGAAAGACCACGAGCCCATGCAGCAGATTTCCTTTATAAAATCACAAATAGAGACAAATTTTGTTCCTACACTGATGAGCATGAGGGAGAAGTTACTAAATCATTTGGGTAAGCGATCTGAGATGTTCTTTACCAGCATTCTTCCAGTTAGTGTTTCAAAGTTTAATTTATGCCAAGTGAATGAGCACCATAATGCTACAGGACATAGACCAGAGATACAGTTAGACTTGTATCGCTTGCGACAATTGGTTAATAATATGATAAATAATATAAATGGAAAAGTGACAAGATTCAATAGAAGCAATGGGAAAAAAATTCATTGGGATCTCCTTCCATTTGCATCTCGTTCGCTGATTCTGAACAATGCTTTTGCTGAAAAATATCTGGAGGATGGTGTTAACCCTTCAGTTGAGGTTGTACAATCCCACATGGTCCCCATGTTGGAATATAACATTAAACGGGAATATATGAATAGATACCAGGAGGTTGTGTTAATAGGTGACTCTAGATTACAGGAAGTGGACAAAGTATGGCCTAAGGAAGGAGGAGAGAGGGTTACCATATATATCCAGTCCCATTTGTGCTTCCAAACTCTCACCGAAGAAAATCCCATTGTGAAACAATTGCAAGGCATGACAAATAAACTTATTGTTCTTAGTTTAGGTATTTATGATTTAATAAACTTTGTAGTTTGTGATGGACAGCATACTCATAAGAAAAAGTGGGAAATTCCCTTTTTGAATATAGAGAACTTGGACTCTTGCAATGAAGTATTGCACAAATTTGTAAAGGCATTGGAGCAAGTGGACCAGCTGCTGCGCAGGGTAACTGTAAATTGTGATGTAATTATCACCACCATATATCCATTTGATTATATAAAGTTCCAAAATTACATGATCCACAAGCATGCTGAGGACACTGGACATGTTGTGGATAATCCTCCACCATCTGAAGATGTACATCACAAGTTAAAGAAGATTGCGGACTTTATAACAGAAATAAATAAAATTGCGACAAAGGTTGCCGGACAAAAAGGATTGCCTCATTGGCATTTGCACTCTGTGGTTGATAGTTCTTTGAAAATTAAATCGACAGATGAAGTAATGTTTGATGGCTTGCATCCATCTCCATATGTTGCAAAAAAAATAGCTGAAGCTTTTGCACGGTGGGCCAAGGCTTCTCTTTATCCTCGTGGTCTCAAGTCTGTTCCTAAGGATATGAATCGTATTAATGACCTTAAGAAGGAGACGTTGCTCTCAGAGTGTAGCATAACAAGTCTTCTGAAGAGTTTTCACTTTACTATTTATGGTAATACTACAAATGATGATCCAAGTGAAAAGAAGAGTGTTGATAATAAGAAAGATAATGAACGTACAGAAATCATCACTGGTGTTAATACATCTACATCAAGACTCGATCGGAGAAAGGTTAGGAAAGCAGACATTTCTTATAAAAGTTTTTCTCCAGTCAGAAATAGCTACCAGAGGAGTGCATCATCATCTTCAGAATACAGTAACAGTGAACAAGGCAGTATAAATAGAAGATATTCAACTGGAAATTACAGAACTGTGAGGTACGGCAGTCCTGATATAAGTCCTTCCAGGCATTTTAGTCCAGCTGAGAGAAGCAATCAGGAAAGAATTTATAATTTGGATGGAAATGAGAGTCCTTACAGGAAAGTTGGTGTAAGGAGAATGTACAGCCCAAAGAGGAAGTATAGTCCTGAGAGTTACAACAGTCCAGTCAGATGCCACAAAAGAGGGAGACTTGGTTCAGAAACAAAATATCACTCTGGCAGAAATAATTTTAGCCCAATAAGAAGTCTTAGTCCAATAAAAAGTATTAGCCCATTAAGAAGTTTAAGCTCAATAAGTCTCAGTCCACTAAGAAGTTTAAGTCCTACAAGAAGTTTGAGTCCTACAAGAAGTTTGAGTCCTACAAGAAGTTTGAGTCCTGCAAGAAGTTGGAGTCCTGCAAGAAGTTGGAGTCCTGCAAGAAGTTGGAGTCCTGCACGAAATTTGAGTCCTGCAAGAAGTTTGAGTCCTACAAGAAATTTGAGTCCTGCAAGAAGTTGGAGGGGAAGAAGATATTGCTCGCCTAACAGAAATTATCTGGACAGTAAAGACACATGGCAACGTAGTCCAAGAAGAAGTAGAAGCCCAGTGAGACGCTTTGGACGTGATAGGTTAGACTGGCAAGATAATTCAAGGAGTTGGGCCAGCAGTGACCGTGTGAGCCGGGGGAGAGAATACAGTCCAAGGAGATGGCGGGATAGAACCCCCCCTGCATCTTCTTCACATTGGAGAAGGTATGAATTTATTTATTTCCTCCTACATGTTAGTGAAATTTATATGAGAAGATATTGTGTATATAGTAAACACTTAATTTGCACGAATGCTGTTTACACTATCCAATAAAACCCCATGTTAAGAGTAAAAGTTATGATCCAATACCCATCTTTATTTTCCTGTGTCATATTATTGTACGGTATGAGAACCTTATGTCTTAAAGACACTTGAACCTATGTTCCCCTGCCAAATATTAATAACATACAGTACAGTAAAAGTTAGCTGTCAGCATACCCATAGTGTATGCATCTTTATGCCTATTCACTGTCCTTGGTATAATGCTTCATATGGGTGTACTTTTTTCCATCATGCCCCACTCATTTGTTTGTACAGGTATACCCAGGAGATCACATGACACTGTCCAGTTTGAACATAGTGTAAATAAGTACTCTTACTCTACTTTTCTAACCTTACCTAACTTTGATAGTATGGGAAGCAAAATACTTGAGTCGTCATGGTTTGCCCCCACTTTTTTCAGTTGGATTATAGAGGTATGTAGATGTGACTCACCAGTGTTCAAGTTGTGGTTTTGCTGTCTACACATCTCTTCAGCCAAGAGTTTTCTATTTTAAACTGTCTTTAATTCTTTGCACCAATATTCAAATGTAGGATGAGTGCTGGGCAGCTTGATCATAGTGACACTGTACCGCACAGCACCAGTGACACTGTACCACACATCACCAGTGACACTGTACCACACCTATCACCATCATGACACTGTATAACACCCATCATCATATTCACACTACCACCCCCTTCACCATTACCATATTGACACTACCACCCCCTTCACCACCACAATAGTGACACTGTACCACACCCATCACCAAAGTAATGCTATACCACACCCATCACCATAGTGACATTGTGGAGGCAGAATTTTTTTTATATAACTACAATGTTTCTTACACAATAGTTCAAGTGTCATATTTGGCCATTTTGATTTTTTTTTACAGATATTCTATTAGCATTTTCTCTTGCTGTATAACCTGTACCAAAATGATAATTGATTTATTTTGAATATTCCCAGAAGTGCAGTACAGTATATAATTGTACTTGATATTATTTATTACAGATCACTATCACGCTCTCAATCACCTAAAAGACGAAGACCTTCTGGCGACTCCAAGGATTCTGTTACTATGCGTGCATTGCAGTCCCTCCGTGATGTTCACAACCGTGAGTGTGACATGTATCGACAGAACCCAACTGCTCATCCTGATTATGGTAAAGAGTATCGAGCTTTTATTGAAAAGAAAGCCCAAAATATTCTCTCTCTTGGTGGTGACCCAAACACATATGACATGAAGAATGACTGGGAGTTGTTTTGGCCTTCTCGTTTGGAAGCTTTGTTTAATGAATGTTGGGCAGAGAAGAGGAACCAGTGTATTTCTATGTTACATGTTAATAAGGTTTTCTCTCATTCGCCTTCTCCCTCGTCCATATCCAGTGACCCCTCATCTTCGAGTAGATCACAAGACAAAAGAAACTTTCATAAAAGGACAATTAGACACTCTAAATCATTTAGTCCTGATAGAAAGAGAAGACATGGGAAAAGGAGCGAGAAAAATAGAAGCTCCAGGAGAGTAAGAAGTAAGAGTAGAAATTCCAGGAGAAGTAAGAGTAGGGATTCTAGGAGAAGTATAAGTAGGGATTCTAGGAGTCCATATGTACATGAAGGAACAGGAAGGCGAGACAAAAGGGATACCATTCAGAAAGGCCACAGGTGGATGCCAGTCACAGATGATGAATACAGAGAAGCAGCACAGTCAGAAAGTAAGAGACAACAGGAAGATCATTTACACATTGGACAGAGAAGTCCTTTTTCCAACCAGAGATCAGAGAGCAGGATAGATGCTGGAACAGGTATTGGTATGAAGAATATGGAGGGAATTATTAATGAAGTTTTACAGACTGTTGTTCAACATGTGAATTCAGCAGGTGTACCTATGGCTAATCCAGGGACATCTTATTCAAAACACAGTTCCTGGCACATTGATACAGGGGTTAAAAATATTGCTGAAAAGAGGAATGAGGCTATGAATTATGGTAGTTTATATGCACCTGATGCTCACTTATCAGAAACAATGCCTTTTATATTGAATGATTCAGCTAGGAAATATTATGATACTAATATAGTATCTAAAAGTAAACAGCACTCAGAAGAGGAGGTCTCGTCCACAACTCCTGAAGAAACGGCTAAAGTTGATGTCATTGATGTTTTAGAAATATTGACTCGTTTAGGTGAGAGATTGGGTACATTATTAAAACCAATCGAATTACTCCATAAAAAGGCAATGGACTTAAAATCTAATGGTATAGATACAATGAGCATTTTTGATGAAATTGATAACAAAATTCTATTACATATGACAGGAGACAAATTAAGAAATGCATTGAAAGGAGATAATTTGAATGTCATCCAGAAACTCATCTTACAGGGAGCTGAGCAGAGGCTAAGCGTCTTACTTGAAAAGGAGAAGGATCGTTCTCTACTGTTTGATCTGAACATTGACAGCATAGCTAGTGCATGTCTGGGAAAAAGTGCAGCTGAGACTACAACTTTTGTTGAGAATGCATTGTTATATCATGGTCACACTGAAGTTCCTAAAGATCAGCTTCTGAAGATACACATGGCTGTTAAAACACAGCAGATGAAACTACTGGATATTGGAAAGAGACCTAAGAGTGTAGAAGGTGGTGTTAGTCATTCATTACAACTCCCTGTAAACTCTACACATCAAATCCACCAGAATGTAGTACCATCATCACAGCATTCAGGCTTTGCTTCATTCTTATCTGTGGCACCACGCTGTCCAGGATCAGCTCCATATTCTCCCTCGCATATAAGTGATTCACCGCCATATCATACTGCATCTCGACAACAAGTTACACATCGCTATAGCCTGCCTATACCTCAGCCTGTCCCACCACCTGTCATGCCAACTGTTAACCCATCACATCCATCAGCACATAGTGGAAGTGAAGTTGGAATGAAAGAAAAAATGTCAATGACAGATTTTCTTGCTTCCTTATCAAAATCAACTTCAAGTGACTCGGGTTCTTCGGGAGAGAAGATGTCGCTGACTCCTGATACAAGTTCCACGGTCTTAAGTACTTCTTATCCTTATCCTCTTCAAAAAGAATGTTATGTCACACCTTCAGGATATAATTTTCAGGGTCATTCTCAGACAGTGGCACAATCTGTCAACCAGGGTTCATCTCAATATGCTCAACAAAACCTGCAATCCTATCATTCAGCTTCAAAAGCATCTACAAAGACACCAATTAAAATTACTCTCCCCAAAGTTTGAGGACAGAATAGTTGAAATTAGAAATTACAATCCCTTAAATGAGAAGTATCAAAGTGAAGAATCTTAATAATAATATTTTAGCAAGACCTTATGTTAGCTGTAGTAAAGTATGTCGGCAATTCATTTGTGAACTTGCTTGTGCACGTGAATTGGGCAATACAAGTGTGTTGTGTCTATTCACTAAGGATTGTATTAACTACTTTTTTGTTGTATAAAGACATACCCATGTGATACAAATGCAACTGCTTTACTATTAATCTCAGTCCGGGGTAAAAATGGAAAATTTGTGCACAAGTGACACATTACTTAACATCTGGTTGTAAATTTGTCATTGGGGACATTTGTTGGCGTCAATTTCCATTCAATTGAAAACAACTCTCACATGAGATATTTTCCCAGTCATCACTTCCCTCATTCCTACTAGTCTATAATGTTTCCATTTCTCTGTACAGCTCAGTATATATATTTTTTGTATACTGTATATCTTAAGGCATCTTGCAGTTGTATATATGTACAGGGTACTACTTATCCTTCAATTATACCAACTCATCATGACACACCTCTCATTCTGTATAGTTCTTGAAGGTCACACACACACACACATACACATTGCCTGATCTCCCATTTGGTCAGACAACCTAAAGTTTGTATTATGTATTTGGGAATTTAATTGTAAACATTTAATTCAGAAAAATTTGACCATTGAAATGTTGCAATTTTAACCATTCATTTGCATGGTAGAATTAGTACAAGCAGTTATTAAGTAGAACTGGTTTTAGACCTAAATCAAGTTGATGTGATTACAGCTTCAAATTTAAAAGAACTGAATAAATATTATTTTTAATACGCAGAATCATGTAATGATATTCATGTCCATTTGGTCAGATGTGGTGGTTACTGAACATTGTCTTACTAGAAGGTGTTACAACAAGTGTACTGTAGATTACTTTTAAACGTAACTTTGTTTATATTTTTGATGCATTCAGCAATAGTGGCTGTCATACCTAACAGTCCATCAAGCTCTGAGAACATACTGGAGTGTATGTTCAATGTTTCTTGCCTTAAAAGTTATTTAAACATGTACACTTGCCTCTGGAGTTGTAGATCTTACTATTGTAGATTCCTGACTGAATACTGGCCTAAAGGTGGATTAATTTGTAATTATTTTTTCATTTGATAATCAAGGACATTAACCAGTATTGTCTCTGAAAAAAATTAAATCATGTGGATATTTAGGGATCGACTAAGTTGGCAATTCCTTATTGGTAGTGTAACTGTGTAATTGTTTAAAATGCCACAAACATTCTTGTTACTTTACAGTATAGTAGTCTATTTCATTTTCCCAACATTAATTTTTTTTCATATTCTTACAACTCTTTTCCAATGATACAAGGTGGCTAGCTTTAAGAGCAAATTCTGTCAGTCATTTATTTGTACTGTACTGTCTTTAAATACAGGTATTTGTGTTCAGCTGTAACACAATCTTCCCCTTACACATGGCTTTCAGTGTCTTACCTAATATATGTCTGCCCTTCTCCATCTCTGAAAATTAATCAAGTGTCGTGGTCTCTGGTCACCAACCACAGGCTACTCAAGCTTTCTTCCATGTCGTTCCTTCTCACGGTTTTTTCCTTTCTCATTCTATGCTCTTCTGAATCATTGAGAATAATAATATTACCTTGTAATATGTTTTAAAGAATGATAGACTGTAAATATAAAATTCCTCAAATAAAAAGGAGTTTGAGCTATTTATAGTAAACATGTGAGGCACTTTGGCTGAGGACAAAACAAGTGACTAATCAGTTATGGGATGTGCTTGTTAGAAAATTGCAAAGGTTTACCTACATTCTGAATTTTTTAATTTTATTTTACTTTTGTTGCTTGTCTGCTTCTTACCCAGAGTGCCTCATGTATCCAGGCTTGGAATTTCAAGGCAGCTCTGGTCATCAGTGCCCTCTGACTCACCATAATGCCCTTAACTAAAACACCCTATTTACAGCCATTCTACTTTACCCATTTTCTATTGTGTTCGTGGAGCAGCTGAGGCCTTTTTCATGAATTGCCAGGACAATATAGCATCAAATGTCTTAAGTATGAAATAGTGTATACTGACAGTCACAGAAGTCATAAATGTTATCAGCACAGTATCATACTTCTTCAGGACTTATTAACATGTTCTTATTCATAGTTAAAGGTTGACATTATTTTTAGTATTTTGTAATTTTATATTCTTTTATATATATACTTTTTTTAATAATGAACATGTTAAATAATGTACAGTACAGTATCTTGGGAAATGAAGGCATTGTATGAGGCTTTAACCTGTTATTTAATAAGAATAGGCATAGGCATTACTCAAACTGCCCTTCTATGCTGTACAGTATATTATTACCATGCAGTCAGATAACTTCTTACACACCTCTTCATCGTCCTAAAATCTGTTACTGGATACTGTTGCATGAAGTCCTTTCTTCAAAAAAAAATTCATACTCCACTCAATGGTGGTTTTCTCGGAGTTCAAACACTTTGATCTGTAAAAGATATTAATTTGATCCAGTTTATTGTGTTTTTTTTTTTTTTTTTACCCTGTATAGATTTTTATGTATTTACGGGTATATTTGTAAAAAGAAATTACTATGTGGTACATAACCTGCTCTTAGTGAAAATTTTGTACATTTAATTTTTTCCTTTCTCGATCTCTCTTGGAGTAAAGTAAATTTAATTTTTTTTTTAGTTTCACTTATTGTATATTAAAAACTGACAAATCTGTCCAGTGAAGCTTTCAGATATTGTTCATGTACTGCATCCATATCTGAAACTTACCACAATACCTTACACACAAATTACCCACCAATTCTTCCACTTTGCCAATTAGAAGTCTTTTTCATTTTTTAATCACTCCTAAAACAGGGCCTCGTGTATGCACATCACTAACTATTTCTACTACAGTAATATTCTTTTGCAATATTTTCCCTGGAATTCGTCTGCCCAAAGAATGTCTTTCTTGTGTGACTGACTGACAGGTTGAGTCAGTGTATGCTGGCTTACATATCTTGTTCTTTATCACCTTTATTTATTTGTAAACAATTTTGTTATATTTTTTTGGAGATTGATGCTTATCACTGGGTAGTTTTGTAAACAGTGTTGGTTTTAGGACAGTAGTCTGCACTCTGATCTGGTGGCTGGAAGCTGATCTTTTGATTGTCCATCCTTCCTCTTTGCAACTATCTTCTTTAAAAGGAAAAGTTTGCCCTCTAGAGGCAGGAGGGCAAAGGACATGAAGCTAGAAAAGATGGACAGATCCAGATATATTTTTTCCTGGTAGAACCCACAGCCTAAAATCTCCAGCACCATCCCTCCTTCCTGGTGTTTTTCAGGATAGCAGTCATAGTTGGTATATGTGTACAGTACTGTACTGGCTAGTAGACATGACTGTCTCTTAGACATCCTGCCACATAAAGGGCACAGTTACGTTGCGGAAGGATGAGTGATTATAAAATCAGCCCTGAGCTTGCACTGAGGATGTGGTCCACAGTCAAGAACCAGACCCCTAGACTGGTTTATGCATAAACAGGAATCACCAGACTACAGGGTTAACTAGAAGACTGGATATTAGGATCTATCATCCATTTATACAGTTAGCTATGTAAGTGTCCTGATTTTTGCATAAGGTGATTTGTGGTTGCATTTGTTTATACCAGTAATAGTGTGATGTGTTTGTTGGCTAGCAGTTGGAAGTACATGATAAAAGACGTACAATATAGAGCTTATGATGCACCATGTTGTATGTAGGTGCCAATATGTCAGATGTTCTCATAATGTCTTATGAATCAGTGAATTGCTTGTCATTCCACAACTTTAAAAAGTGAGTACAGTGCAGCACACAATTTTAAGTATGCCCTCCTATCCACATGTAAAAATTTATTCTTTATTTATTTATTTCCTATATGTACTTGCCGTACTTTCTGTGAGTAAACCTGTAAAGTAATAGTTGATCCAGCTTGTGTAAAACTCATTTTCGATTTTGATACAATGTATTATGACCTGTGCATCATATAATTGTGGGACATTGGATTATATCAGTGAAATTAATTTATACGGACTTGTTTCACTTACCACATTTATACTGTAGATAATTATTTTTTCTTTGAAGACATTTTATTTATTTTTTTTTTTTTAAATATAATGAATGTATATTAAGTTAATATTACTATATCAGGGGCATAATACTTTTGTACCTACTGACCAGTTGGCCATTGTTTTTAGTGAGTTAGTGCAAGTGTTGGTTTAACTAAACTTTTCTGCTGTACAGGTATAAATTGTATTTGGGAAGACATGTTATTTTTATTGTAATTTGTGTTGCATTATTAAATTTTTTGGGTAAAGATTGTACATAAACCACTGTGTGTTGTGTTCAGTAGAGGTAGCTGCACACACACGGAGAAAAGCAAGAACACAATGAATTTTTTATTTTGTTTTGCAATAAAAGTTGACATAGTAACTGAAGAACTATAATAAGGGTGGAGCTGGTCTGTAGATTTTGATGTGATGTGTATCCTTAGGGCCAAGAAAGATGAGTGTGTGAGTTACAATTGAGTGCTCATAGTAGTGAGTTACAAATGAATACTCATGGTAGTGAGTTACAGCTGAGTGCTCATGGTACAAATTAATCATCTTAAAGAACCAAAGTTATACATGTAAATATAGTTGTTAGAAACAAATAAATAACTGTTTTAAAGATCATATGTATTCACTTATGAGACTCCTGCATAAATGTAACAAGGATGACATCTGTACAGTATACTATTACACCTCTTGACTATTATTACTAGCACCAGTAATATCACACTTGGTGGAAATACTTGGTCTCTCTTTAAGATTGTTATTCATATAAAAAGGGATCCCCAAACTTCCTGAGGACAGATTCTCAAAGGTTCATATTATGAATATCCTTTGTAAATAAAGATGCAAGAACACACCAAGCTGTGACTTCACCCTTTGGACATGCTGTTTGACTGCAGTTGAACTAAACCTGAATACGGTACTATTAAATGCAGTGTTCAACTTAAAAAATTGTGACACATTGCGAGAATTCTTTTAACACTTCCTCACCTGCCTGGCAGATGACAGAGGCCATAGCTGTTGCCACACTATGATGACTCGGCTGATGGCCGCCACCCACACTATGATGAATCGGCTGATGGCCGCCACCCACACTATGTTGAACTTGACACTCTCTCTCACTCTCTCTCTCTATCTCTCATCTGTTTCACCGTTATTTAGATACAGTAGGTAATAGATATTTTAATGTTAATGTAAGTGTGTGTTATTTATCTTAATGCATATGTAAAGATTTATTTTGATGATGTACCATGTTCCTGAAATTTCCGTTATACAGTACAAGTTTGTCGTGTGTGGCTACGTAGCATACATTTAAATGTCATTTAATGTTTTCCCACTATATTACCACCCAGTATCTTTTGTTACATCATAGTGTTCATATGAATCAGGTTGTCACACAGTTTTCTTTGGTTTACCTAAAGTCAAATGACATGACAAAATATTTTTTATGACATTATATCTCAAGTCGAGTGTAAAAATAATTCTTATTTTGGAGTTACAGGGGGTCATCGGTATAAAGCCCCTATTATTAAACAACATCTTCCCTTGAAGAGGCCGTCATGTTTCAACCCGAGTTTTAAACTAAATGAGTCCTGAGGGACACCGCAGTACAGTAATTAACCGGGTGGTGTGGTGGTAAAATTAACTATTTCCAATAAAATTAATTTATAATATTGGAATTAGTTAATTTTACCTCAGGACTCATTAATTAAAATTCATTATAAGAGGTTTTGCACTTAAGTGGTCAATTAACTGTGGACCTACACATAAAACGTCCTCGCAGTTAAGAGGATTTTAAGGCTGAAATCCATCAATCTTTGGGAGCATAAATGTTTCAGCAATTGAATTTCCTGTGCCTCCCATTCTCTTAAAGGTCATCCTCAGTACCAATCACCTATGTCCATAGGCATTATTTTGAAGTGCTCCAAAAACTATAATTATCAACTTTATTGCATCTTTGGTGACACTGGTGGGCTGTTTTTGTAGACAAGGCAAGGTGGTTTAGTGGTTAAAAGGAAGCGTAGTACCTATGGCATGGATGTGAGTAGTCAAAATAGTGAATTGCAAATATGCAAATACAATAGTAAAAATCGCGAATCGCAAAGTTCACCGTATCGGAAGTAATAATGGATAATTCTTTAGATATCAGATATAGGGAGGGTAGTTATACCTGTATTAACAGTTTTCTTATACTGTACATACAAATTACACCAACTGGATAGGCTGAGTTTTAAGAATTTTGAGATACAGTACACTTATCAAAATTTCTTAAAATTCTCCTAATATTCAGAATTATTGCATAAATAAAATCAGTCTTGGTTTGATGCTTATCCACCAGGAGAGGAAATACACATTACGTATATTATTACATTTAATACTTAAGTACAACAGAAAGAAAATAAAATGTTTGAATAGAGGAGCACGGAGGACATCATCAATAACCGGTAGGTATACTCTGGACACAAGTCTCCAATTCCAGGTCTTCATCCACTTGATGGGCAGCAACATGATATACCCTATCTTAAAAGTGACCAAAATAGGGTCTTTGGAATGTTTTGCAAAATTAAGGACCATGATTACATAAACCTCAAAAAATAGGTTTGTTACTTGGGTTAACGTCAAAACCAGGTTTTTGGGTAACCCTGCGAAGGGTTTCAAAGTAGAACTTAACAACACTATTGGGAACATTAATGATATCTTGCACAGGCCATCAGTCTCTTTCCCATGTCCTGGGCTCCTCTAGTTGTGGCAATTAGGTGAGCATATCAGGTGTAAAGATGACACAGCTTACTTCACCTAGATTAACTACCTTAATGCTAACGCAGTCTAACCTAAACCGACAGGTAGCGTAAGGTGTGTAATTATCATGTGAAATAAACGGGTGGTTAGTTAAGTGATTTATAACCTGTCCAATAAATATCAATTTGGCAGATTTCTTTTGAGTGCTCCAGTTTTTTCTGTACTAAAACTGGACAATAAAGGTCATAGAGTAATAAAAAAAAACTGACCAACAGCAGATAAGAGATGATACTAATACTGTATATAGATATATAATTTTTTTTTGGGGGGGTGGGGGGGTGTAACCATTTTGGATACCCATACATTAGTTGTGCGCTCTTAGTTTATTAATATTTTTGGCTAAATGGCTGAAGGAGCAGTTAATACAATACAAACTTATGATTACAGAGACGTAGAACACATATGGACAAACAGAAGCACACACATTAAGATGAACAAAATTATACAGATAAAAGCAGACACAAGGTAGTGTAGGCTGAACGTACATACAATACATGCACAGGAATGTACAAAGGATTTGCTGAATGAGGAGGGAGGTCCAAATTGTTAGTTCTCCAAAAGAATGATGAAAATGCACAAAGCAAGAGTGATACAACTGAACACGCCATCTTCCTCGTGTACAGTATAATCTGTACTGTAGAATGTATATACAATAGCTGTTGTTTATCGTGTTCAATTCAGCTTTATAATAGTATTTTAAGTCAAAGCTGTCGAAAGCCATGGCAAAGTCTAAATATACAGTATATTGTCGCTATTGCCACCACGCTCCTAGATCCAAGTCCCAGCATCCTGGTGTAATTGCATCAAACAGGAGCAACCATGTTAGCACTCCCTGAATAGGTTGTTTCGTAGTAGATGTTCCAGCATGCCTTTTCTTTTAATGCTGGTGAAGCTCACCAGCGTATAATTATTTGTAGAGTGGTGATCCCATTGTTTGAATAAAGGTTTCACATATGCCACTTTCCAGTTGCTGGGTATCTTTTGCTCGTCCATGCATCTTCAGTAACAGGATTTTAATGGGCTCAGCAAGTTCGTTGCACAATTCTCTTAACACTCTGGGATACATGCTATCAGTGCCAGGGTTCTTATGAACCTTTTGCTTTGACAATTTGCTCCTGATGCACTCTTGAGGCCATAATGTGCGTCGGTGCCGTGTCGTTTCCGTCTTCGAACGCGGAGATTATTTTAGGCGATGAGATGTACAGTACAGTATTTTAATGCTCAAAGGGGTGAGATTGCACCTCTACATACATAAATTCTTAAATTTAATACACAATTACAGTGGTCAGCTGGCTGCATGATTAATGTATTATTCAAATGCATATTTCTATTTGTAGTTTCAGCCACATTTTGAGAAGACTTTAATAGGTCCAAAGCTACAAAATTAATAAATGTCTGGCACAAATCCTAAGCTGAACCACCCATTCAACAGCTTCTCTTAATCATTGATGAAATAAATCATGTTAACACTACCAGAGCAGGCGCTATTAGACATTTTAGATATGGGTAAACTATGCACTTTTTGGACGACACCATGTTTCTTCTGCTGATAATAAGGTAAAATAACAAAATTACACCCTAATTAACCTGATAAATCTGACCGAATCTAAAATAATGTGCTCTCATCCTAGGATAGGGAGGTTTGGATGGTTGTCATCAAAATTAGCTCTCGCCAGGAAGCTGACAATGTTAAGGTATGAAAGGTAACAAGGACAAATTTGCCGAACTAATAATACGAAAACTGCTCAAAACCATTGCTTGGTGTATACAGTATTATTTATAAGAAATCATATAAAATAGCCGAAACAAAAATATTCTAAAAGTGCTGTCAGTGTTTTGTGGGTTTGGGTCAGAAGCGTTAATGTTCGGGAAACGTTTGTCTCTTATGTTCCCATAAACATTCTTGGCGGCGTCTCGGCGGCAGTTATGTTGAACAGTTGATGTCTCTTTATTTGTGTTAAGGACGAAAAGTATCGGACGTTAACGTCATAGTGCATTAGTGTGCTTCATTGCTAACAAGGTTAGTAGTGACACTAGTCAGCTGTGTAATTTGGAAAATTTCAGTTTTCCCGTTTTTTATATATGGAGGTAAGAAAAGTTTTATAATTTTTTTCCTCAGGAGTTGCTCCTCATGAGTCGGTTGTCTCGGGTACTACCATAACTTTTCTTACCTCATGAATATCTTAAAACAATTGGAAAAATCAAACGGGCCGTTTCATCTTATTTCAGATAAATAATATAATCTAGCAGAATTGTAGTCCGAAGCAGTGATTGGAACTGATAGCCAGAGCCACGGCAAGTGAGGCGTGACGATCGGACCCCCACACACAACGCTTCCGTGACGCCTGCTGGACCACCACTCCACGACCCCCTGACGGAGACACGATGATCCTCCCAATGCTGGCCAGATATTTTGTAAATAATATTAATTATGTGTTAAAGGAACATCCTTCCTTCCTTAGGCTTTAGTAAGCCCCTTTATAATATTTATACTGTATATACTTTTCACACTTGCCAGATGATTCTGGTGTCATTGTACAGGGGTACCTAGTGACAGCACTAGGATCCCGCTTCTTCTATCAAGGAATAAACAATTGAAGTGAAATTGGTTGACGATCGGACGAACCCTTCTCCCTTCCCCCTGCCCTGTCTAAACGTTGCTGTATAGTTCTGGAACAATCGTGGCAAAGTCATGTTGCATGTGTCAGTATCGGTCTTCACTGGGGCTCCGGCTACTATTGGCCCCTCTGACTGTACCTTATATGTTGTTCGTATGTATGAAAAACTATACTAAACAAAATTGCCGAACTAATATTACG